TTAAATGAAAGAACGAATAAATAGATATTTTTCTCTAATTCCTAGAAAATACAGGAGTAAGAATTTAATACACTCTAGGATTAGTTAGATCCTGGTAACAGATTAGCTGCTTCAGAACTTCAGCTCCTTGGTTTGAGTTCATCCTCAACCTCTGTCATACCTGGCTTTGATTTTTAACATAAGGGCTTAACAGGTGAGCTGGACACAGCTGAAAGCTTTCTCCTTATTGCTGCTGCTATTCATGGCTTTTCTGAAACTGGAATCAGAAAAGGTGGTAGCAAACAACACAGCCTGGCAGCTTGGCACATATCTTGGTTATCCCTTGTCTAGCAGAAAGAAGCACATTGTAGAGGACATGGGCTTTGGTGTCATTCTATCTGGGTTTTTTTTGTGTGTGTGTGTGTGTGAGGAAGATCGGCCCTGAGGTAACATCTGCCGATCCTCCTCCTTTTTTTGCTGAGGAAGACTGGCCCTGGGCTAACATTCACGCCCATCTTCCTCCACTTTATACGGGACGCCGCCACAGCATGGCTTGCAAGCGGTGCGTCGGTGCACGCCCGGGATCCGAACCGGTGAACCCCAGGCCACCGCAGCAGAGCACGCGCCCTTAACTTCTTGTGCCACCTGGCCGGCCCCTCATTCTATCTGGTTTTGAAAACCCACTTTGCAACCTATTAGCTGTGTAACCTTGGGCAGAGGATGCTTGCAGCATAGAAGCTACGTTCGAGTGGCTTTTAGGCAATTCCCTTCTGTGAGGACGTCATCTGCTTTTCAGAAAGATTCCCATTTGACTGCTTTTATGGAATTACTCATGCCCTAGCCCATGACCTCCTTTCCATTTTGGAAATCTGCCTGCTTTATCTTCCAGACATCAGATTCTGCTGTCTGATAACATGTGACTATCGAGAAATGTGATTATTCCTCTTACTTCTTTAATTTATCCTGTTTTTCTAGTTTGTGATTATATCTCAATTAACTATTTCCTTAGTTACTGATTGACTTAATGGAATCCAGCTTCATTGACATAATTTTTGAACTTTGACTACCACTAACATCTATTTGAACCACAGTAGCATGTCAAATTGCCCCGATATTTTTATTGCATCTTCCAGAACCGCTGAAGCTTACTACCAATGGTTACTTCAAAATGCGTCAGTCACTTTAGCCTCGCGATAGAGTTATGCAAATATTACACGTTTCCTTGACCAATCAAGCCTATGTATTTTGTACTTGGTAACACATATTTCTGGAATGCTATATGGAATTATCCAAATCCTAAACGTCTAAAGAAATGGTCGTTTATAACCAGGACACAGAAATGAATAATAGAAAAAGACTTCAGCAAGACCGTTTTCCAACACTGAACTTCTGCTGTATTATGGTACAACTTTTTGTCAACTTGCTTCCATTTATTCATCCTTCCATGGTCCTCTTATTCCAATGAGCCAAGTTCATTCTTGTTTTCACAGACTATTGATTCACAAATTCAGAAACTATTCCCTGAAGGCTGCTGAATAACAAGTAATGGTGACATTTGCTCACATTTATGTAGAATTTCACAGTTTATAAAGGGTTTCCCACCCATTCTTTCACTGGATTTGGGTTCTATAACAGAAGACCTTAAGTGGATCCATCTTTAAACTACTAGAGAGTGGGGCCGGCCCCGCGGCTTGGCGGTTAAGTGCGGGCGCTCCGCTGCTGGCGGCTGGGGTTGGGTCCCGGGTGCGCACCGATGCACTGCCTCTCTGGCCATGCTGAGGCCGCGTCCCACATACAGCAACTAGAAGGCTGTGCAACTATGACATATAACTATCTACTGGGGCTTTGGGGGAAAAAAATAAATTAAAAAAAAATAATAAACTACTAGAGTAATGATCCTCTGTTTTGTAATTTTGACATCCTGGGTGTGTTTCTGCCTCCAAGGCCGCTGCTCATTCATTCATTAATTCATTCAACTAACATTTATTAAATCTTCCTCTGTATTAAGCACTGTGCTAGAAATTCTGGAAAAAAGATGAATATGACATGGTCCTTGTATTTAAGCCAGGGAGAAAGATTTAAAATTAACCAACAAAAATACAATGTTAAAATACTGTAATCTACATTTCTACAGAGAGCTAAAAGAATACAGCAGGAGGAGAGGTTAATTCAGGCCCAAGCTTTAGGGCTGATATGCTTCGGAGAAGAAGAAATTATTTTGAAAAAATTAATAGCAAAACAAAACCCTGAAGCAAAGTAAGATGAATTTAAATTCATGTAAGTGTTTTTTTTTAATTCCGTGTAATAGATTAATAATTTTTCTCAGGAGTGTGGGGGATGGTATGACAGGAGGAATAGTTGTGAAATCTAACAAACAAGATAGGGTGTCACAACTTCAAAGAGGTTAGAAATCATTGTCCTAATACCCTCGAAGTTTAAACACTGCCTTACTCAGACCTTGTTACATATAATTTCTAGGCAATGAGTACTGGGAGAAATTTGTGCCCAACAAGCAGAACTAAAGGGTTTTAATAGTAATCACTTACTTATCTTTATCTTAATACTTATGATAAGTTGACTACACGGCATCAGAACCTAGGTGAGTAGTTCCCACTTCATAAATAGGGGTATTTTAAGTTTTATGCTTAAAGGATATTGGGAAAACATCCTTAATTCTCATGTAAGTAATAGTAAAGACAACAGTGATTTCCTTTCTATTTGTTTATAGACATTCTTGGTTGGGGGTGTGTGTTTTAAATGGTGTTTTTAGCATTATAATATACCAAAAAGCTCTACTTGAGTTCTTTTTTTAAAAACAACTATAACAGAAGAATGAACAAACAGGATTTCCTCTATAACTAATATTGACTTAACTTTATAGGGTCCCAGGCCTGAACTGCTCTGTTTATTCATGAAACAGACTCAGGCTATTGGTCCATTCGGATTTACTTCCAGCCTTCACAGTTCGGACTGTACAGCCAGTTTAACTCTTGGCCTCTCAGGTGACGCGACTTACAAGGGTTATAGAAAAGGCTACGGCAGTGCTGGGAGGTTGTGCAAGAACCCCATGCCCTGGCCCACAGCCCAGTAGACTAGAGTCCCGCAGCAGAAGACGGTTTCCACGGGTTACACTCGGGAATTACCCCTGGTTTAGCTTTTGTCTCAAACCATCTGGATGTCAAAAGTGCTAATAAGCAACTGACTCACTGGCAGAATAAATTCAGTCTGGTAGTTCTGTTCTGGAAGACTCTAACGACAGAGATACCGGCAATAAAACAACAAAGCAATTTCCTAAGTTTTGAGGTTGTCTAAACCTAGTTGTGAGATAGCATATTGATAACAGAGAGTGGACACTGAAGATTTGCCATAGGGGCTCAGCTTTTTTTGTGGATGAGAGAAGCCCTATTTAAATTTTGTCCAACACCCTTTCCCTAGCTCTCTTAAAAGTAGCAAGCGTGGATCCCTTCCTAGAAAGCCTGCAATTATTTCACAGCTCTCACTGTGACAATTGTTGGGAAAGTTTAATGAGACTTGGCAGTTCCCCAAGTCATCAAGATCATTTGAAATTTGACCACTAAGCTAATGCCAGATGATAACAGCTTTGAGTTCTTTCAATCACAGTATTATGCAAGAAAAATGATATTCATTCTAATGAAGACTGGGTGTGTGTGTGTGTGTGTATCTTAGTACAATACTTTTCATTTTCCTGTACTGGCTCTTATACTGACCTATTTCAGACAGAGATGAAAAATGTGAATATATGTGTTATTTTTTTTAATACAGAAACAGACATTTGGGTAATGGAAAAGGTTATTTTTGTGAGATGGCTAGTGAGCACAAATGCATTTATTCATTTTAGTTCAAGATCCTGTTTCATTTTATTATTAGTGAGAAGCATTTGTCAAGAATTTGAACTTCAAGATTTCATGAAATTATCTTAAATATACCAACACTGGTAATGAACTGACACACAGTAACCACCTTTTTTCCCGTTAGGTTAAATGTCTGTTTCTATAAGTAATTATTTCCTTCCAGATTTACAATCATTTTTCTTTTGCATTTTCCTTGGAAACCTCACACCCTCAGGAAAAATATTCCAGGCACTTGCACGTTAAAGGGCAAATCACATCTGTCACATTTCATTTAAAACTCTGGTCAATCTTCTTTGGAGAAATGTCTGTTTAGGTCTTTTGCCCATTTCCAGAGATTGGATTGGTGGTTACTAGAGGGGAAGGGGGGAGGGAGGAGGGTGAAAGGCATAATTTGGTACATGTGTGTGGTGATGGGTTGTAATTAGTATTTTGGTGGTGAACATGATGTAATCTATGCAGAAATAGAAGTATAATGATGTACACCTGAAATTTTTACAATGTTACAAACCAATGTTACTGCAATAAACAAAAAATTAAAAAAAAAAAAATCTCTGGTCAAGGAGGTAGCCTAATGTCACGTCTCTCTATCGGATCTGATGGTTCTCTATGACCTGGAAAAATAAAATGAATGAGATAGGGGCTGGCCCGGTGGCGTAGCGGTTAAGTTCGCATGTTCCACTTTGGCGGCCTGGGGTTCGCTCGTTCGGATCCGGGGCACGGACCTGCTCACTGTTTATCAAACCATGCTGAGGCAGCGTCCCACGAAGAAGAACTAGAAGGACCTACAACTAGGACATACAACAATGTACTGGGCTTTGGGAGAAAAAAAAGAAAAAGAAAAAGGAAGATTGGTAACAGATGTTAGCTCAGGGCCAATCTTTCTCAAAAAAAAAAAAATTAATAAGATATACTGAGTGCTTTTTTAGGTGTCAGGCACTGTTGTAAACACTTTACATTTAGTAACTCATTTAGTCCTCATAATAACCCTATGAGTTAGGGTCAGTTCATCTAAATCAACCTAAGTAGGCATCTTGAATTTCATACCCAATTTGTTAAATCATTTATAAAATACGTATAGAATGTTTGCTAAGTGCTAGGTACTGTCCTAGGTACTCTAGATACAAAAATATATAAGGCTGGGTAAGCTACCTTTTGGGAGTTCAAGGTCAAGCAATTAATGGCCCCAATTGCAGCTGATTTGCTGGACACTGTATAATTGATAGAGCATATTAACAAGGCTTCAAGCACATGGTATGTGGCAAATGCATTCTTTTCTATTCCCATTAGAAGACAGGGTCAGAAACAGTTCACATTCCTGTGGGATAGGCAACAATATTCATTTAAGCTTTTGCTTCAGGGCTATATTAACTCTCCTGCCCTCTGTCATAATATACTCTGAAGAGACCTGCTCTGCCTGGACATCCCACAGAACATTCCACTGATAGATTACATTGATAGCATCAGGCTGATCGCTGAGGATGAGCAAGAAGTTGCTGGTATGCTGAAGGCCTTGGTAGACAGTGTTCCAGAGGGTTGGAGAGAAATCCTATGAAGATTCAGGGATCTGGTACTTCAGTGAAGTTTTCAGGGGTCTAGCGGTCAGAAGTGTGACAAGATATCCCCTCCAAAGTAAAAGAAAATTGCTGCATCTTGCATTTGCTACCACAAAGAAGGAAACACAGTGCCTGGTAGGCCTCCTCGAGTTCTGGAGGCAGCACATTCCAAACCTATAAACACTGCTCCATATATTGAGTGACATAGGAAGCTGCCAGCTTTGAGTGCAGAGGTCCACACTACAGTGTAAATAGCCCCACCACTTGGGCCATACAATTCAGCAGATCTTACGGTGTTGAAGGTGTCAGTCATGGAAAAAGACGTAGTGTCTTTCGGCAAGCCCCATTGGGAGAATAACAATGCAGGTCTCTGGGACTCTGAAGCAACACCATGCCATTTCCAGCATAGAATTATATGCCTTTTGAGAACCAGCTCTTGGTGACTTATTAGGCCCGGCATGGGGCTTCATGGGGCACCCAAGTCATGGGCAACCATGGTTCCAGAGCTGCCCATTACAAGCTGGGTTCTGTCGGATATGTCAAATTATAAAGTTGGATAGGCCCAGCAGCAGTCCATTTTAGTATGGAAATAATACATCTGGGATGGAGCCCAAGCAGGATAGAGGACACAGCAAGCTGCATGAGCAGATAGCCCAGACCTGCATGTCACTCAACAGTTGCAACAGCACCATTCCTCAGCTTGCTCCATATGGGGTGGTCCCGTACGACTACCTGAAGGAGAAAAAAACCTGAGCTTGATTTATGGATGGATCTGTTCTGTATGTGAGTACAAGCTGAAAATGGACCATGGCTGCATTATAGCCACATTCAAGGATAGCCTTGAAAGACAGTGGAGAGGGAAAATCTTCCTGATGGGTGGAGCTGTGAACAGTGCACCTAGTCATTTACTTTTCGTGGAATGAGAAGTAGCCCAGTATATATAGATATGGGAAGTGGCCTAAAAAGAAAAGAATCAGAAAATGGGAGATAAGAAGGTAGAAGCATGTAGATAAACGTGAAGAGTTTTGTATCACACATTACAACTCAATTGAAAGCATCCACCATGGAAAAAGTACCAAATAACCAAGTAGATATAATAACTAGACCAGTGGACATAAGCCAACCTTTGTCATTGGCCACCCTGGAACTGCCATGATGGACGCATGGACAAAATTGCCATGATGGCAGAGGCAGGCTGTGCCTGGGTCCAATAGCATGGGCTTTTCATTACCAAAGCTGATGTAGCTTCTGCTGCTTCTGAATGTTCAACCTGTCAGCAACAAAGACCAAAGCTGATATATCATTCTTTCTCTCTTTTCTAATAAGCAAAGGCATGTTTTATGGGAAGCTTAGCCCTGAGCTAACATCTGTTGCCAATCCTTCTCTTTTTGCTGAGGAAGATTGGCCCTGGGCTAACCTCCGTGCCCATCTTCCTCTACTTTTTATATATGGGATGCCTGCCACAGCATGGCTTGATAAGCAGCGCGTAGGTCCCCACCCGGAATCCGAACCTGCAAACCCCGGGCCGCCAAAGAGGAGCCCGCGAACATAACCACTATGCAACCAGGCCAGCCTGCATCATTATTTCTTGATGAGACCAACTGGCCACTTGGTAGTAAGTCAATTACAAGAGCTAGTTGTTTGTCCTCACAGGGATAAACACCTATTTTGGGTGCAGTCTTATCTTTGCTGATTGCAATGCCTCAGCCAGCACCACAATCCAGGGGCTTAAAGAATGCCTGGTCCACGGATATGGAATCCCACACAATAAACATCTGAACAGGTGACCTACTTCACTGAAAAGGAGGTGTAGGATTGGACTTGTGACCATGGGGATATACTAGCCATATCATGTACTGTGCTATTTAGAAACATCCAACTTAATAGAACACTGGAATAGCCTTCTAAAGGCACAACTCAGAAGCAACACTCTGAAATGATGCAGTGCCATCCTTTTCAGAGAAAAGCTCTGGCCTTTTCCTCCTCTTTCAGCTGGTCATATGGGAAATCTCTCCCCTCTAACTCCTCATAGCCATAGATATGAACTGGGGGATGGGTGCTGTTGCAACTGTGGTGGATGACATGGGGATCTGGGCTAAATCAGAGACCTCTATATGGTGCCATGTACCTAACAGGAAGAATATGATGGACAACAAAGGGTGGAATCAGGAATGGCCCCACTTACCATCACTTCCAATAACCCACTGGAGGATTTTGTGCTTCCTGTACCTGCAATTATGGCCTCTGTAGGGCTGGTAGTTCTGGCCCCCAGAAGGGTTCACTCTTGTCAGGTGACAGAGCAAGTGTCTCATTGAACTATAAGCTATGGATACTGCCAGGGCACTTGGGACTCCTTGTGTCTATAGACCAGCAGTGAGAAGAGGATTTACCATCTTAACAGGGGTAATCAACTGATCGTCAGGAGGTAGGGCTGCTTTTACACAACAGGGATAGGAATATATACAGAACTCAGGCGATTTACTTGGAAGCCTCCTGGTACTTCATTGGTCCACTGTAACTGAATGGACACGGGCAGCAACCCTGACTTGAAAAGGGTGTGATTGTGCAGGACTAAGACCCTTCAGGAATGAAGGTTTGAGTCACACCATGAGATAACCTACCAAGACTTGCTAAGGTGATAGCTGAGGGTAATGAGAATTTAGATGGAGAATAGAGGGAGGGAGAGGATGAGAACCAGGTGCAGCCCCAAGACCAACTGCAGCAGTGGGACTCTGGTTCATCTCACCAACCTCCTTCTTCTAGGTTTTCTCTCAGGAGAAAAGGCCCACAGGAACCATGGAGGATCTGTTCCCTAACTCTGCATAGAGAAGCAGATTTGTCCAGAGCATGGGGTGGACTGTGGCAACCATGAAAATGTGCCACTCAGATCTGCTGAGGGGAGCATAGTTTGGCTGTTGGACCCAACCCTTACCCTCTGGATCCCCCTGTTTTTGCATTGAGCTAACACTTCCCTTGCGATTCTCTTAGCCAATTACAGCATGGTGGGGTACTAATGTAAGCCCATTTCTGTGACACACAGACTCCTGTACCAGGTGACTTTGGCTTGAGGAATCCCCGTTGGCCTGGTTGAAATTTTCCTAGAACTGTGCTACAGAGTAAGATTCTTTTTTCCTAATCCTCTTTCCTTTTCCCTCTCTTTCCCTGGTGTCAGAATTGCATCACCGTCTGAAGGCTCTCCCTACTTTTTCTGGCTTTCTTTTCTTTATCCTTCACAGGCATTTCCCTCCGATAAATCTCTTGAATGTCTAATTCCATCTTGGCACCTGCTCCTCGGACGACACAAACTAACATAATGCCACTGGGGAAACGTGACCTTAGCTAACAAGAAAATGGTAGGTTATGAAGAAGACAGACTTAGAACCTGCCTTCCTGTACTAGACCACTAGAAATTGTTCATACAATGTTTACATTCTTTTCTGCAAATACTAATCCACAATTTCTTTATTATTTTTGCTACCCTAAAAAAGGAGGAAGTACTACAAAAGAAAATGAAAGTAAAGGAATCACTTCCTCTATCTTTAATTGCTTTCACTTTTTTTTTTCCTATTTACAGTTTCTACTACAACTTAAGCTGTAGTCCATTGTACAGGCTGGCATTCTGCACATTTATGTCGCTTGGCATCTCAGCAAACCTATTCCTATTACTAGAAAACCACTCAAAAGTGTGTGCCCTAAAGGACCAAAAGCATAATCTTAGTCCATATAAATGGGAGAATTTTGTTACTAGTCAATTGTTTGAGAAGAGAATTGGACATTAGGAATCTTGTACAGTATTTTGATCTCATCTATGCTATCAAAATTTGGATACATCTCTTGAATTCCTGAACCCATATCTTACTTAACTAGAAAATAGGGGTAAATGTATTTACTCCCTAGAGCTAAAGAAAGACATTTGCCTAGATGGGTCTTTTACGTAATAACCATACTTCATAGTGTGTGTGTGTGTGTGAAAGAGAGAGAGAGAGATGTAGGAAAAATAAGGTTAGGATTTGGGGTCAGAAGACCTGAACTCAGCCCTACAACTAGTAAGAAACCTGGGCAAGTCCTATTGCCTTATTGAGTCTTGCTTACATCAGAAATTGTTGTAAAGTTCAAGTGCAACAGAGCCCGTGGAGAGGCTTTGTAAATTATAAAATGCCATATAGATGTGAGTTTTTATGATAGGGATGATAATTAGGGATCTTTTTTGGCACAGCTTTTGATATATGACAGATGTATCTAGCTTAAGAGAAGCAGGAAGTCAATTTAGCTCATTGTACTAGTCTACTAGATTTTCTGTAACAAAATACCACAGATTGGGTGGCTTCAACAACAGAAATTTATTCTCTCATAGTTCTGGAGGCTGGAAGTCCAAGATCAAGGTGCTGGCAAGGTTAGTTTCTCCTGAGGCTTCTCTCCTTGGCTTGCAGACAGCCATATTCTTGCTGTATCTTCACATGGCCTTCTCTCTGTGCAGGCACACCCCAGGTGTCTCTTCCTCTTCTTATAAGGACAACAGACATATCGGATTAAGGCCGCACCCTTATGACCTTATTTAACCTTAATTACCTCTTTAAAGGCCCTATCTCCAAATACAATCACATTGAGAGTTAGGGCTTCTTCGTATGAATTTTGTGGGGACACAATTCAG